CCTATTTAAGTCCTCGGCATATATTAGTGGAGATAGCGTGCAACGCTGTTGTTGTGCTGTGTTACTTACGGAACCCATACAGATGAATAGCAACTTGATAGATTTCCTTAATGCTGGGAAGAGACTTCTCTACTGATCACAAAAGTGATATCGGTCTGTAAGATTCAACTTTGCATCCTTGCCTGGCTTCAGTAGCGGAACCACTCTGTAAATTGTCCAAGCTTTGGGAACGACGTAGGTGGCTATCGACAAATTGAGGACTTTTGGCAGTTAGTCAACTCCGGGCTCATCCAGTTGTTTCATCATAACTATGGATATTCCATCCGGGCCCCAAATGACACATGCAAGATCACCTGTTCTTAACTGTGGTGGTACCACCTCGGCGGGAAGAGATCTTATACGACGTAGTACTCTTCACTTCGTCCTATCGCTCTCGGTATACACGAAAAACTGTCGGCTGAAATAACGGCGCATCTCACTCGAATCAGTCACAGTTTCGTCGTTAAATGTAACTGAGGTCCTATCATCCTTTTTACCAGTGTTCAAGAGCGACATAACCATTGCCAACAGTTTACTTACACCGACTCCGATGTTGGAACTCTTCAGGTGGTCCAACCATTTAATCCGTTTATGCAAGGCGACTAATCTGCAGAACTCCAACGACAGTTCCCTGACCCTGGGCCATTTGTTAGACCAAATACTTCTGCTGGGAAATTAGTTCTCATCTCGGGCATTCGAGATATAAATCCACCTGCGCATCATAAGTAATGAAAAGTACTGGTTAGCGGCAATTGTGTCCCGGAATTTCCTTTCTGCTACCTGCACATCCGAAGGAATGAAAAGATCTCTGAAGCGCTGGTTGGTAAACTCTCTGAATCCTAGCCAGTTGGCTAAGGAAAGTGCGACTTTCAGAGATGACGAAATCGAGCGGTCTGAATATGAAGACGATTATGGGAAAGTGGTATGAGCCAAGAGAAATGACGATATGCTATTTCAATATTTTCTAATATGCCATTCGTCGTACGTAAATGGTTACGGTTTCAAATATAAACTTTATTTGAAAATTACCAAGGTAGATATGCAAGGTAGCCGCAGTCATGTTAGGAACATACTAAACACTTTATGTTTCTAATCATGCCGTAGATTCGGTTGCTGAGACTCGGTAAAAAATGAGCACCCACTAGTCTGTGCCGCTTGTAAGCCAGGGCTGGGCAATGACACAGGAGATGCTCAATTGTTTCCGTTTCCTCTTCTTCAACGCAGAGTCTGCAGTAATCAATTGCATCAAGATCCCATTTACTAGTAAAAGCCCTGATGTTGCAGTGACCAGTAATGACTCCTGTCATCACTCTAATTTCAGCTTTGCTCAGGTTCAACAGTGAGTGCGTTCTTTTGGTAGACAGATCGGCCAAATGGATCTTGACACGTTGCACCTAGGTTCGTTGTGTCAAAGTTCACAGGCTCTTTCGTCAAAGAATGCCTCAAATTTCCGATAAAAAAGACATATGGGTGATTTGATTGAGTCATCAGTTTTTAGATCGGTGGATTGAGATCCTCGTCTAGCTAGTTCGTCCGCTCTTTCATTACCCAAGATGTCACAATGTCCTGGTACCCAACACAGCCGATAGCTATAGGTAAGTCCTTCCAGAGCTGCTCTGCACTTGAGTCCGGCTTCGGATTTGATGTAACAAGATTTGATGGCTTTAAGAGACGCTTGACTATCCACAAAGATAGTCACCGGTTCAACGACCTTTGCATCCAGACTTTTTATCAATTCCGCTGCCTTCCAGATCGCGAAGATTTCAGCTTGGAAAACACTACAGTTGCAATCCAGCTTGGCAAGGCCTAACCTTTCACAGTAGACGCCTGCGCCAGTACCTTCTTCCATCTTGGATCCGTCTGCATAGAAGGGTTACTTCGTTTCCAGTTGTCTCTACTAGGAATGACGACATCTGCGTCGTCAAATCTCAGGATTGGAGATATATAGTCGCTTAGTTTAGCGCGTTGGTCCAATGCCATACCTGGTTCACTCAGAATACTACCATGCCCAAAGGTACAGTTCCGCCAGAGTTTTTGTTCATGCAGCCTTAGGGCGCTACGCGCGGCCTGACACTTAATGCTGAGGCCCAAAGGCTTGAAGTGCAGCATTGCGTTCAGAGCTGCTTGTGGCGTACTCCTTCTGGCTCCTGTAACTAAAATCGCGTCGGCTACAGTTCCACCAAACAAGAGAGCCATAGGACCAGATGGGCATCACCACAGTGGTATACAGCCAGTGCATAGTCGATGGTTTTAGCCCCCAGCTTTTCCCAATGGAGTTCTTGCATGCATAGAGTGTAATCATCCCTCTCTTAGGCCGCTCCCGCCAAAATAAACAGCTTGACAAGATGTTTTTACACAAATTCTTGTAGAAAATGTTAAAAAAAAGTATTGCCAAACAAGCTTTTCGAAATTCGGAGATTTTCATTATATTTTTTTTAATTTTTTGACATTTATTTGCACCAACATCTGGGCCGATGCGGCTACCTTATTAAATATACCTTGAAAATGACAAAATCAAGTATAGAGTTGCTGGGGTTGCCATCATCGACTTAGCAAATGAGACTACCCTTAATAAGTTCGATATGTGGCTGTGGCAGAATCATCATTTTTATAGTAGATTTTGATAATTCTTATGCTTTGTCAATGTCAGACATGCAACTGAAAGGAATAAAATATTGGATTGAACCATGTAGTTTGACAGATGTCGAATTCCCATACTTTTGAAACCACTAAATGGATAACCGTTAATTTTTATACCCTTCACCACACTGTGGTACAGGGTATTATGTCTTTGGGCATATGTTTGTAACAGGCAAAAGGAAACGAGATAGACACATGGTTCCTTTTGAGAATATGCATAGAATCACTTTCTAAGTCGATTTATGCATGTCCGTCCGTCTGTCTGTCCATGTTAAATTGTAAACAAAGTACAGGTCGCATTTATGATCCGAATTGGATGAAATTTGGCACAGGTCACTTATTCGGCCCAAGGACGAACCCTATTGAAATTGGGAAAAATCGGTTCAGATTTAGATATAGCTCCCATATATATATATATATATATATATATTTAACCGATTTAATGTAAACGGTCCCTATATATCTTTCGATTTGCACGAAATTTGGTACAGGCTAATCATTTAGGCCTATAATGATGTCTGAAAATCGGTCCAGATTTAGATATAGCTCCCATATATAGTTTCGTCCGATTTCAGGTAAATGGTGCCCCAAAGTCCCTATATATCTTTTGATTTGCACGTAATTTGGCATAACGTACTGAATTAAGCCTAGAGTGATGTCTGCCAAGTTTCGAGAAAATCATATATATAGCTCCCATATATAGGTTCGTCCGATTTCATGTAAATGGTGCCCCAAAGTCCCTATTTATTTTTTGATTTGCACGAAATTTGGCATAACGTACTGAATTAAGCCTAGAGTGATTTCTGCCAAGTTTAGAGAAAATCGGTCCAGATTTAGATATAGCTCCCATATATAGTTTCGTCCGATTTCATGTAAATGGTGCCCCAAAGTCCCTATATATCATTCGATTTCCACGAAATTTGGCATAATGTACTGAATTGAGCCTAGAATGATGTCTGCCAAGTTTCATGAAAATCGGTCCTGATTTAGATATATCTCCCATATATAGTTTCGTCCGATTTCATGTAAATGGTGCCCCAAAGTCCCTATATATCTTTCGATTTGCACGAAATTTGGTACAACCTAATCATTTAGGTCTAGAATGATGTCTGCAAAGTTTCGTGAAAATCGGTCCAGATTTAGATATAGCTCCCATATATAGTTTCGTCCGATTTCATGTAAATGGTGCCCCAAAGTCCCTATATATCTTTCGATTTGCACGAAATTTGGCATAACGTATTGAATTGAGTCTAGAATGATGTCTGCCAAGTTTCATGAAAATCGGTCCTGATTTAGATATATCTCCCATATAGTTTCGTCCGATTTCATGTAAATGGTGCCCCAAAGTCCCTATATATCTTTCGATTTGCACGAAATTTGGTATAGCCTATTCATTTAGGTCTAGAATGATGTATGTAAAGTTTCGTGGAAATCGGTCCAGATTTAGATATAGCTCCCATATATAGTTTCGTCCGATTTCATGTAAATGGTACCCCAAAGTCCCTATATATCTTTCGATTTGCACGAAATTTGGCATAACGTACTTAATTGAGCCTAGAAGGATGTCTGCCAAGTTTTATGAAAATCAGTCCAGATTTCTATATAGCTCCCACTTATAGTTTCGTCCGATTTCCAACGGATGACCTATTTATATTTGTTTGAAGTCGATTTACATACTTTATGGATAGATCTACGTAGATTCACATTTAGATAAATATCACATATTTTATTTCATTCAAGTTCATGCTAATAGTCCTGTTTAATATACCCATAGTGGTGAAGGGTATCATATAGTCGGCCCCGTCCGACTTTACTACTTTCCTTACTGGTTTTAAACTCATTTTGAATTTGACCAACAACCCAGGCACAATGAAACAGCTGACGACAACGATTACAACGCTATACCACTACTATCGACAACAAACATCGATATACTATCCGATTCATTTGTCATATGGCAAACAAAATCGATAGCACATGTCATCAATTCACTTCACATAAACTGCAGAGAGAAACAACTGCGAGAAGAAGAAGAAGAAGAACGATTAGCCACAAAATTCATTTATAGATCCCTAGAAAAAAGTTAAATTTTTTGCTTATATATTTTTATACAACAACACCAAAAAAAAAATAAATTAAACATCATTATTTTGCTAAGCAAAAGTGTAGACGATAAAGCTGTTTGTAAAACGGGAGCTAACCAAAAAACAACAACAAAACACACACAAAAGATAATCCAATTAAAAGACTTGTACAAATTTTGTAATTATAAATCCTCCGAGTGAATCTCCCCCGAAAAAGAAAGAAACGTCAAGCAAGCAGCAGTAGTTGTGAATCAAATCGAAGAAGAAAAACAGGCAAGGTCGTCAACGTCGTCGTCGTCGAAGTTGTCTCAGTACAAAGCCAATAGTCAACACAAGCAACATGGTGAGTGTTCAACTTTGAACTAAAGGAAGATGAAGATTTCGATTCCTTTGTGTGGTTTGACACACGCAAAGCTAAAAGTGACATGTGAGACCAAAAAAAGAATGTGTCCGTACATCTGTCTGGCTGTTGGTCGGTCGGTCGGAAGCAAATGAATATAGTTTAGTTCCTGTGCTCGTAAAATGATGTATGCATGCTAATTTGTGTTGTGTGACAGCAGCTGCTGCTGTTGCTGCTTTTGTTGTCGTTATAACAACCAACCGACCAGCCAACCAACCAATGAGACCGGCAGTAATGATCATGCTTTATGAGAGCTGCTTATTCTGACAGCAAATTGCAAACACACAAAATGAACTTTGACCAAAAATTATTTAAAAAAAAAAAACAGAAACAATTTCTAAACACAATTTGTTGCTATATTCGTATTAATCATTTAACTTGATTATTATTGTTGTTGTTTTTTAGGATGTGTTCCTGATGATTAGAAAACACAAAACTACCATCTTCACGGATGCCAAAGAGAATACATCGGTGGGCGAACTAAAGCGTATGCTGGAAGGTAAACAAAATATTAACGGAAACCAAGAAAAAATTGAAAAAAATTAGAGCAAATAATTGTTTAATGGCAAAAATAGCTAAATGGACACTCGCAGAATATTTGTGTGTTTGTACGAGACGGACAAAGTAAAAACAAAAAAAAAAAACCTTAAATGACCTTTAAAACTATTTTGAAAGATGTTCACAATGAGGATGAGAAAGGATATTGAATGAATGAATTATATTCCAGTTAAACAATTGATAATTACCAATCATTAAAAATCATTGTGTCACACAAATCGTAACGCGCTTTCTGGAATATTTTTTGACAATTAATATGAGTGCCAGTGTTGCTAAACTAATCTATAAATAAATCATTTGTTTTAGTAGCCATTGAAGATATATTCAAGACAAGTTATAAGATATATAAATTACCAACAACACTTCTAATGACTAAATATTTGTGTGGACATTTGTCAATATTTTATTGTAGAAAACACTGTGCTAGTATATTTCTTTTAAATACTATTCGTTAAAGTTATTAGAGGTTTTCCAGACATAACAGTGACATCATCGCACCTCTAAAACATTTCACGATAATTGATTCTCCCCTTCTTCGTAGGATAATCAAATATCTATCACATAAAAATATTAATCTCTTCTTAAACGGAGCATGGTGTTTAGCTATGTGGGCCTGTGTGATCTTCATATTAAGTGAAGACATGTGTGTGTTCCCGTACCAAAAAAATCGGACGAAACTATTTAAATTTATAAAGAAAATGAAAAAAAAAACAACCTACTATAGATGCATATCCTGAACAGAATACATGTTCATGTACTTCTTGTATAATAACACAATTGTCATAGCCGTCCAAAAACACAAGCAAATGACGAACTTGGTCCGGGGTTAACTATGTAGTCCTGTGTGATATTGAGACTTGACGAATTAATTATAAGAAGTTAAGAATGTATGTTGGCAATACTTTTCAAATGTATGTTGAAATTGTCTTTGCATAATGTCATCATTATAAATTCGGGTACATAACATACCAGTGTCATCTTCATGGAAAGTCAAAGATTGTACCCGTCTATCGACACATCGAAATTTTGTTGATGTGTCTGTTTGGTTGTTATCGTCGCTAACACCTTCGACATAGTCTTATGGAATTGCTTCCCTCACCCAGGCGCCATCATTATAAATTCGGGTACATAACATACCACTGCCATCTTCATGGAAAGTCGATGATTGTATCCGTATATCGACACATCCAAATTTTGCCGATATATCTGTTTGGTTATCATCGGGAACACCTCTGTCATAGTCTTATTGACATGCTTCTCTCCGCCAGGCACCACAAGAGATTTATTTATGATATATTGAAAGATCCATAGGTGTAAGCGTGAACACATAAATTTGCGGAACACATATCATATTTTTAGAAAAATATCATACCTCGTATCAAGATTTTCTTTTCTATAAAATAATTAGACCTTAAATGTCTTTATAGAAATTCTCAATTTCAATAATAAAAATAACCCCTTAGAATATTTTCCATAGGAAAAATATAACTTGTCCAAATTGCCTGTGGACTCAGTCCATATAGATTGCAACTATCCTGTTGCAAGTTTTCACATTGAACAGAATATATGCATTTTTATACCCTACACAATAAGGTGAAGTGTATATTAAATCTGTCAGTCCGTTTGCGTGCCTTGAAATAATCGTCGGAGACCCCAAAAAGTATAATTGATCAGAAAAAAATTCTATGTCGATTTACGGCCTGTCTGTCCGTCTATTGAGGATAAGTCTAGTTTAGGACTCCTCGCGGATCGTTTCGAAATTTTTACCACATGTAGTCTTTGGGGCCCTGATTACAATGGTATACTTTTTTTCTTGCGGAAATCGGTATTTCCGGAGATATGGGCCTCCAAAGTTCCGTTGGGAACCTTGTATTTTCTCATGATTTTAAAAATTTAAGGCAATATGGCAATATCGGTATCAATTTAAAGCGTTTGAAGCCCTGATTACAAAAATGTAATATTCTCATCAAACAACTCCATACTTTCTGAGATATGTGGCTCCAAAATTTCGCGGGAACCATCTTCAATTCTAAAAAACATAATGGGTGATTGTAGATACCCGGACTTCGTCCGGTGATTTAAGACTTCCTCCTATGGACACTACGGCTACGCGACCGAATCTCCTTTTAATTAGAATAGGGTTTGAGGGTAGACGGCCATCGGCCGGGGATATACCTTCCAAAATGTTTGTCCCTTGTGGCAAGTTTTCAGATAAATTTTAGATTATTTTTGTGCGTCAAATATCATTTCTAAACCCCGGCAGCTCCAGTACTTGCTTTATTTAATATCGATAATTATATTTTTGGAATTCCACGAGTCCTTGTTAAACCAAAATGGTTAAAAAACATGAATAAGCCTGTGCTTCGTTTTTATAAAAAACTTAAAATCCAGTTCGTTGTTTTGTAAGAACAACTATAGTTGGGAATGTTTGGCATTTTCAACCTGAGGCTGAGACAGGGAAGACTATAATTTCGTATTTCGCCACCGATTCTCATCAATTCCCTTAGTTTTTTTATTGGGAATATTCTCCCCAGAAGATTTTTATAGCTTCTGCTTTCAACAAATTGAGGTACTTATCTACCCAACTATATAAACTACATGAGAAGCTCAGGTTGTCACAAAAATTTAAATACTCGGGTCCATGACGCCTATATTTGTAAAAAAAAACACATCTCTATTAGCTGAGAAAACGTTAAGACCGAACGTTTTCCACTTTTTACCATTTGGTATTAATTTAAAACACTGCGACTGAACTTTTGCACTTCTTACCATTCGGGATTAATTTAAAACGACCGAGACCCTTATATGTGCTATTTCCAAACATGTACCTATTTTGTAAATTCTCTGAATTATCTTTCATTAGGGTTTTAATCCTTTGAGTAAACGAAATACCATATTACATGTACTTAGGTTCGTAAATAGGTTCCTCAAAATATCTATATTAAATTTAATACTTTATTCAGCATCATCTGGAAAAATAGGATTTATTCATTAAATATAGACTGGGGATAGTCTTTATAAAGAAGCGGAGAGGAATATTTTTAAACGTACTAAGGGGAGTCCTTATAGGGGAGCCTAAGCAAAGAGCTATCATCATTATTTGGAAAAATGTGATTTATTCATTAGATAAATTTTCCTCCACTTGAATTAAGGTTTTCCCAATATGTTAGTCATTTTATATATGGGCAATATTGCCAATTTTTTAACATAGCTGAAGCGGAGGTTCACCCCTTTATAACTCGGGAACTACTTAAGTATATGAAAAAAGTGAATAGTTTTGGGTTAATTGATCTGTCGTTGCAAACTGTTCATGATATTGACCTCCAAACTTTATTTTGGTGGAAGCTGTGTCTACTTTAATGTAAAAAATGTGTAAAAACAGGTTGAGGCGAACCAGTTTTTTTATGTTCTCTATCGATTTGTGACTAAGCCACTCATTGCACGGTCTTCGTGTCAAAATAAAACTAGAAGCCAACAAAATGGGGACTACGCCCCTTATGTATCATTTTTCAAAATTTTAACTGCATCTACCTTTAAATGATGCTGACATTTTGAAGCTCGATTTTGAGTGTTTTTTTAATTTTACTTCCAGCTTTAATACGCAAACAGGAATTTATAAAAATCGATTATAAGATTATTGTAGTCGCGAATCTGCGTAATTTGATATGTATTTTGTGTATGTAGTATGCACAGCTTCAGAGTAGTACTCATCCGAAGGTGCGAATTTTGTGCGATCAAATTTCTAAAAAAACCTATTTTTCAGGCCAAATTTTTAGATCTGTCAACTGAATGATATGGGTACCCGCGATCAATAAGGTTTTTGACGTTTCGAATGATATAAAATCTTCTTCGTGAAAATCCATCGAAATTTGGCAAAAAATGTTTTTGAAAATATCGCGGATTTATTTGCGTTTTCTGTGTATCATTTCCGCATTAATAAATGACCTCATACGGATTTTGATCTTTTTCGAAAAGAGAACTTTAAAAACTTCACCCGAAAGAGAGATGTACGCAATTTATTTCAAAAATAGATTATGCTGGCACATCCATAGTTCTTAATGGACCACATTGAAATCGGTATAGATCGATGTATTTTTTTAGGGTGCACATCGAAATCGGATGCGCGTTAATGGCATATGGAGTTTTCGGAAATTTTTGCGCGTTTTACAATTTTTTGGGTACTTCAAGGTAACGTGCGGCACATCTAAGCCGTCAAATAAAATTTCGCATAATATATATGGATTGGAAGATAAACTTCAGTACTTCCTGGAAACCGCATGCGCATCAAATGATTTTGAGAATTACGCGATTTAGACGCAATTTATCTCAAAAATAGTGTGAGCTGGCACATCCATGGTTCTTAATGGACCACATTGAAATCGGTATAGATCGATGTATTTTTTTAGGGTTTACACCGAAATCGGATGCGCGTAAATGGGATATGGAGTTTTCGGAAATTATTCGCGTTTTACGATTTTTTGGGTACTTCAATGTAACGTGCGGCACATCTTAGCCGTCAAATGAAATTTCCCAAAATATATATGGATTGGAAGATAAACTTCAGTACTTCCTGGGAATCGCATGCGCATCAAATGATTTTTAGAATTACGCGATTTACACGCATTTTAAAATGTATATTTCATAATATTATTTTATTTTAAGATTTATTCCTATTTATAGAACCCCAAGATTTATCGGAAGGGTTTTGGTACAATCCGCAAAGGGTATGCTTATACACATGAAGGGATTATTTTTATATATGGCAATTTTTCGGCGAAATTCGGGTAAAATAGACGAATAACCCCAACATATTTTTCTGAAATTTCTTGTATACAATTAAAACCAGTGAGCGGAGCAGTATAGTCGGACGGGGCCGACCATACGATACCCTACACAACTACCACGAAATTAAAATTTTCTGCGGATGTTTATTCCGAGACTGGGCAATATTTCGTGATATTTGCACCCTCTTGCCCGATTAGATGTAAACAGCGCTTCTTCCTCACACTGACATATTTTCCGAATATTGCAAGTATTCAGTACAGCTATTGTCCAGATTTCCATCACCGTGGGTTGTGTTGTGATGTTCGGCTTTCATTTGAGGTCTATAGATCGACTCGAAAATAACACAAAAATTAAGTTTTCGGTCCACTTCATTCCAAAATTATTATCTGATCATCACCGAAAATTATAGGCATAGTCCTTGACCGTAACTGGAACCTCATGGAACATTTCAAAGCGATCAGCGCTATAGTTCCCCTCTGTAGAGTGATAATGGGTTACTAAATAATATACGAATACGGAGATACCTGTAAATATTTAGGTGTAACTCCCACATCCGAGCACATACAACAATATAATTGGTATTAATTTAAAGGTCAACCACTCCTCTTGGATATAATATAAACTTTTCGGGTCTATGTCCTTCAGGTGTAAATATATACGCTATAGAATACGAATTTTGTCATTTTTCACACAAAAGTCAGGATCCATTTGACCCGATATATATTGACCGATCTTTATCAAAACAGACATGCTTATTCTTTGACCCGATTCCCTTCTCCATGTAAAATTTCGCGATGTTCGGACCATAACTACGGCCTCTGGAGATACCAGAAAAACCGACAAAAATTTAGTATTTGGTCCATTTCATCCCCTAAATATTAACCGATCTTTCCCAAAAATAATAGGGGTCTTCATTGGCCAGAACCCATCCTACATGCAAAATTTCGTGAAGATTGGTCCATAACTGTGGCCTGTATCGTGTTTACAAATTATAATGGACAGACGGACGGACGGACGGACGGACGGACACACATGTCTAGATCGACTCAGCTAGTCGAGATATGACGGTCGGTATACTTAAAGGTGGGTCTAGGACCAATATTTCGCGGCGTTACAAACTTTTGGGGCTGCACAAAGCTATAATACCCTGACAACATAGTTGTGTAGGGTATAAAAATAAATATGATGACATTATTTTTTCGAACCAAAAACAAATATTTTTCCTCAATATCTTGTTTTGCTGTCGCTTTGATTTAGAAACCGCTACACGGACTTGTGTGATTTTGATATCGTTTGATTCATCATGGTGTTTAGATTATGTAGATATTTTTAAATTATTTTCTAGGTGTGTGTATGTAATTAATATATTGAAAATATTGATGTAATCTGCTATATATTTTTTATTTTTCTCATATTTCGCGAATATGTGCAACTTTATCGTGATTATTAAAATATATTCATATTCTTATATTACGGAGGAAGATATATATCAACGTTTTTGGTCAATATAATAAACGGCGTAATTTTAAGATTTTTTTCTTATGCCCAAAATGAAAACCTCGATAACTTTTGCGCGCATCAACCAAAAATTTGATCGCGAACGGTTTCGGAATCAGAACATTTTTCTTTATATGTGTACCAAAAATCATTGATGTGCCACAAAAACAAAAAAGCTGATTTTTTGAAAATGGAATATTAAAATTTGGCAATATTGCCCATATATATTTTTTTATAATTAGAGAAATATCTTCCCTAACATAAGAAAAATGTCCTGTGCTGAAGATTAGCCCGATTTTCACACATTTTGTAACACAAAACATTGTTGGTCCAAAAATTTCAGCCAGCATCACTGAAATGCCTCGATTTCGTCAAAATTCCAAACATATTTATTGATATTGATTTGAAATTGTTGTAACTTTAAAAGCACATTAACCCTACGGTCAATAACCAAAAAAGTATACGTAGATCAATAACCGTGGTACATTTGTACCCATCCAAAGATAGCTCTGTAATTCATTAAAAAAATGGACTATCGTGAGGTTTTTTGTTTTAAATTAGTCTATGCGGATCTGGTCTAGATGTAGGAACTCAAAATTATATATACATTAAAATAATATATATTTAAATCCATGCTTAAATGATAATCTATCTAAAACAATCATAGTAAATCCGTTATAGCTCTCGAATGGGTTAAGCTTTTTTTGTTATTTTTTTTATTGGGATCTTATTTAGGTGTTCCTCAACCCCTCTGCAAATTTTTGTGGTCCTAGACAACATGGGGCCATCAGGGCGACTCGTGGAAGTCAGAAACTACCCTGGTTTTCCTTTGGTATACAGGGACTAAAGCAACTATTTTTGCCAATTATTCACATTTTATGAGTTTAGAGATTGTGATTGGGGCATTTTTAACACTATTTATTACTTTAAAACATTATTTAATATTTTTTTTATATATTTACGACAATTTAGGATTGTAATAAATCAGACTAATTCGATTATAGAAAACGTTTCAGGCCCAATATGAAGAATAATTGGATAATTACGGACAATTATCATTGTTTTTGTCCCTGTATACTAAGGGAAAACCAGGGTAGTTTCTGACTTCCACGAGTCGCCCTGATGGCCCCATGTTGTCTAGGGCCACAAAAATTTGCAAAGGGGTTGAGGAACACCAAAATAAGATCCCAATAAAAAAATAACAAAAAAAGCTTAACCCATTCGAAAGCTATAACGAATTTACTATGATTGTTTTAGATAGATTATCATTTAAGCATGGATTTAAATATATATTATTTTAATGTATATATAATTTTGAGTTCCTACATCTAGACCAGATCCGCATAGACTAATTTAAAACAAAAAACCTCACGATAGTCCAATTTTTTAATGAATTACAGAGCTATCTTTGGATGGGTACAAATGTACCACGGTTATTGATCTACGTAGGTAATAACTTTAAAAAATTGTAAAAATTATGTATATGGAAAATATTTATAATTTTTTTCTTCGATTATGTGTGAAAATACCTCAAGAATGATTCCTCAAAATTTGATCCAAATATCTCCATTATTAAAAATTTTACAGCATTTTTATTCAAAAAAAGGTACAAATGTACCCGGTTATTGACCGTAGGGTTAAAAACTCACTTATTTTTAGGTTCACAATTCTCTTCAACATAAAAATACAAATACATCTCTAATTCCTCTGATATGCTAAAATATTTTAATCGTTACATTAATTAAATGTTCAAAAATCTCAACTCATCCTGATGTTAGTTATTTTCCTATGTGGAGCGTTCACTGTACATACAATCGCATATCAACCACACAAATTGAAATTTAGAAGCTAACATTACAAAGTTTTGATAAATATATAACAAACCAGAAATATTCATTAACTAATATATATTCCATATTTTTTCTTCTTTCAGGTATTTTAAAAGTTAAACCATCAGATCAACGTTTATTCAATCAAGACAATGATATTATGGAAGATGACAATACTTTGCAAGATTATGGCATCACAATGTCAACAGCTAAGGCGCAAGCACCAGCTCAATTAGGTTTGGCTTTAAGGTATGTTATTGACTGCTACTGAAGCAACTTGCAAGTTTCTATATATAGATCAATATAGTCTATCTGTCTGGAGTCGTCTAGACCAATAACATTCAAAAATCAATGATACGTTTCATGTACTGATTGGGGGGAACCAATGCAACGAGTTCGCACGACAACAACATTTCACAGTAGGTTATGGACGGAATATAAGTTCCTGCTTATTGATAATACAAATTCTTACTCTCAACATGTTTTAATTTAATTTCTGCCGTTGGTGTCGTGTTGTTGTTGGTGTTGTTTTAATATTCGGAAGACGATGGTCGATCGGCGGTCTTATCTCAAACATTAATCACTGAGTAAGACATATAAAAATTATTGATATTCTGTTGTCAGAGCATTTAATGTGTGCGGTGGGATATTTTTGTATTTCATTTTCTTTTCCAATTTTTGTTGTTGTCAGGGCCAATTTTTTTCCCTCGCATATTATGAAATAAAAATGTGCCGGTTCTATTTTTGGTTTTCAAAAACAATTGTACTTTGATTTGTTTTGGATGAAGGGATTTTTTTTTGTGTTTGGCCAAAACATAAATGTGATAATTTCAAAAAAAATTTTGAAATTTTATTGCATACTTCAAGTGAGGGTGTAGAGAAATACAGTGGTATGGTTTTGTAGCAAGAATTGTTTGTAATATATAATGCCACAGGAACTTGATCCTACCTTTTTATATAAATATTTTTTTTAAAAGAACAAAGCTTGAGAATTTATTCTGAATTTGTAATTTGAAGGGACTTTGTAAAGATCTGAAGGGAGTTTTTATAGACGAGCTGGTGATAGAAAGTACTTATAGACTAGACGAAGGGAGTCTTTATAGACGAGCTGAACGGAGTCTTTTTAGACGAGCTGAAGGTATTCTTTATAAACAAGCTGAAGGGAGTCTTCATACAGGAGCTCAATGGAGTCTTCTTAGACGATCGGAAGGGAGTCTTCATAGACAAGCTGAAGAGAGTCTTTATAGACGACATGAACTGTGTCTTTATAGGCGAGCGTAAATTGAGTTTATAGACGAGCTGAACGGATTATTTATATACGAGCTGAATGGGGTCTTTATAGACGAGCTGATGGGAATCTTTATAGACTTCAAGCTATTTGTTGCTTAATTTTAATTTCATAGATTTTTTCGATATTATTTACAAATTTTAAACTATATTTCTTATTTCATTACAGAAAGGAGAATGGCGAATTTGAAACCCTTGATATTACACCCTATTCATCACCACCAGATTTACCAGAAGTTATGAAAAATCAGGAAGCAGCAAATGGCAAAGAACAGGTGGCATAGATAGATATATATTAAATATCCATTATGAGACAACAACAACAACATTAACAAAAGCAACGCAAACCAGAAATGCAGTAGCAATTTAGTGTAAAATTACAACAACACTTTCAAAGAAGCCTAAACAAAAAATCTATTATTAACAAATTCTCTTTTTTTTATTTAACACAAACCAATAATTATTTAATATTTAAGTCGAATGAAGGAATAAAATAAAAAAGAAAACACCAGGCAGTGGCAAACAATATCCATTAAAAGTAATTCTATGAAAAAGAAAACGAAAAACTAAAATTCAATTACACCTTAACAATGAGGCGCAAAATAAAGTATATTACATATACATACATATATTTATATATACAATAATGGCCCCCCTTTAAAAATTCAGTGTTGTTTTTATGCTAAAGCAAAGAAAGTAACTGCTAAGCTCCTTTAAGGAGGCTAATTATTTTGTTTAGATTTATTCGAATGTGTTAAAGAAAGTTGGGAGAAGGGCTCAATTTAATTTAAAACAAAAAAAACAAGTTTATCCCCCTACCTATATTGTTTGGTTCTTATTTTTCTATTTCTTTTTTCCCTTCTTACATAACTTGGCTTTTTGCTATCTCTTAATGCATTTTAAGTTATTGATTTTTATTTTTAACTGCAAACTTCTTTTTTTTTTTTTTTTGATGGCTTCAAATTGATTTTCGACAATGCTGCGGTCATCTGAAGTAATCAATACCAATTATTTGAATATCTGTTAGTTTTTTCTTCTTCTTTAAATAAAAGCCTTGTTAAAAATCTCATTAATAAAATACAAAATATAAAACTCAGCCTAATATGATGATATATGAAAAATGGTATATATTCTAAATCAATTTACAAATATGCATATTTCTATATTATGAACTGTTGATTCATAATGACTAACCAACCAACCAGTCAGTCAATCAATATACCCAACAAACAAAAAAATACAAAAACAAAATTAAGCAAAAAAGAGATTTAAACAAAACTACTATTTTCTAATCTATTTAAAACAACTCTATTTAATTTAATTTAATTACGTTTATGTTTCGATTTAATTCTTAATAAAAAAACAAACAAGAAATGAAAAGATGAAAAACAAAAAGAAATACGGAATATGTATTTTTATTCGTTGAACATGAACTTTGTTAAGGGACTATCTGAGAAGAGAGTACGGGGACATTTCTTGATCTCTAAAGAGAATGAAGTCTATAGACGAGCTGAATGGAGACTCATAGATGAGCTGAAGAGAGCCTTTATTGGCAAGCTGAAGGGAGTCTTTATAGAAGGTAGTCTCTTTATAGACGAGCTGAAGGTAGTCTCTTTATAGATGAGCTGAAGGGAGTCTCTTTATAGACGAACTGAAGGGAGTCTCTTTATAGACGAACTGAAGGGAGTATCTTTATGGACGAGCTGAAGGGAGTCTCTTTATATGCGAGCTGAACGGGGTCTCTTTATATGCGAGCTGAACGGGGTCTCTTTATAGACGAGCTGAACGGGGTCTCTTTATAGACGAGCTGAACGGGGTCTCTTTATAGACGAGCTGAAGGGAGTCTCTTTATAGACGAGCTGAAGGGAGTCTTTATAGACAAGCTGAAGGGAGTCTTTATAGACGAGCTGAAGGGAGTCTTTATAGACGAGCTGAAGAGAGTCATTATAGACGACTTTATAGACGACCTGAAGGGAGTCTTTATAGACGTCCTAAAGGGAGTCTTTATAGACGACCTGAAGGGAGTCTTTATAGACGACCTGAAGGGAGTCTTTATAGACGACCTGAAGGGAGTCTTTATAGACGACCTGAAGGGAGTCTTTATAGACGACCTGAAGGGAGTCTTTATAGACGACCTGAAGGGAGTCTTTATAGACGACCTGAAGGGAGTCTTTATAGACGACCTGAAGGGAGTCTTTATAGACGACCTGAAGGGAGTCTTTATAGACGACCTGAAGGGAGTCTTTATAGACGACCTGAAGGGAGTCTTTATAGACGACCTGAAGGGAGCCTTTATTGAATAGTCTTTATAGACGACCTGAAGGGAGTCTTTATAGGTCTTTATAGACGACCTGAAGGGAGTCTTTCTAGACGACCTGAAGGGAGTCTTTCTAGACGACCTGAAGGGAGTCTTTCTAGACGACCTGAAGGGAGTCTTTCTAGACGACCTGAAGGGAGTCTTTCTAGACGACCTGAAGGGAGTCTTTCTAGACGAGCTGAAGGGAGTCTTTATAGACGAGCTGAAGGGAGTCTTTATAGACGAGCTCATGGGAGTCTTTATAGACGAGCTCATGGGAGTCTTTATAGACGAGCTCAAGGGAGTCTTTATAGACGAGCTCAAGGCAGTATTTATAGACGAGCTCAAGGGAGGCTTTATAGACGAGCTCAAGGGAGTCTTTATAGACGAGCTGAATGGAGTCTTCAAATACGGGCTAAAGGACGTTTTTATAGATTAGTATTGTAGACTTGACTGATTTTGAAATCTTATATATTTATTGAAAAGTTTCAAGAGATATACACCCTTATTTAGAGCTCATATAAAAAACCTTCATCCAAAAACATTTATGTTTGAGGCCGTTTGTATTTATTATAATCTTGTGTACAACTATTTAATATTATAATTACATATATTTTCTACTAAAAATAAATACAAACTCTAATCACTTTCCAATGAATCGGAAACCTCTTCACTATTCTGTGGCTGTTCTTCTTCGACAAATGCCGCGTTTGATGTCTGTTGTAATTCAAGATTTTCCAAATACTCTTGTAAACGATCTTGGAAAAAGTTAATATATGTTTGTTTTTGTTGTGACGTTGCGGGGAAATAATGACCACCATTGTGTTCCAATACTTCGACATTTTTAAAATGGTTCGCCAGTTCTTGGCTCATTTCCTTGGGTATAATTTCATCGGAGAGACCATAGATATGTAGAGTGGGTATTATGACCGATTCTTCGTAGGCACTTTTGTGTACCAAACTACCAGATAGGAACCCTGAAGACATTATGGCAAATTCCGGCTTAATTGAAGTTACTAAAACGAAAAGGAGAGCATTACGGTTTGTAGGTTGCAGAATATAACATGTTTAACTTACATTTTTTCTTTGCCAATCCACATATCAAACCAACAAAACAGGCACCCTGTGAAAAGCCCAACAACCCTTGAAATGGTCCCTGTGTCTTCCATGCCTCCTCGACAAGTTTAAGGCTTTCCTGAAAGCCGAAGGCTGGTCCATTTTTATTGGTACCCTTGAATGACCCGTCATCTTTGTTAAACCACCAACTTAATTGATCAGGTTGGGGTTCGGCACCTTCTTCCATTGGCTTGGCCTTGTGGGGTGCATCGATGAAAACAAATTCGGCGTATTTGTTTACATGTTTACGAAATGATCCCAGTTTACTTCTAAAGCTTTCGCCATTTTGGCGATAGCCATGCAAGCAGAGTACCCTCACTTTTTCAGTTATTTCTAACGGTTTTGCTGATGATGGTTTTTGTTTGGATGAAGTAGCCTCGTTGGTCATGTTTGTGGGGAATAGGGTAACCAATTGGTTTGGTTATGCTGAGCGTATCAATTATCAACAGCTGTTTTTTTAGCTGATTGTTTATGGGGTATGTTCAGTGACTGTAGACAAATCGAATTGTTCTTGAATAAACAAACGAAGTTGCCTAGTCACACATCAATTCTACTTATTGTGATAACTTTGACATTGGGACAATCATGATCTAATAATAAGGTCGTCAGATAATTTTACACGAGCTGTCAAAATGCTTTCAATTTTGACTTAATTGTTTGAAACCGTAAACAAAAATTGTCGATAACGATTGTTTCTTACATGACCTTTGTAGAATTTGTACATAAAAGACTATCTTTATTTATCCCGCTAAATACTGGTCATCAAACGGCTATGCTTATTCCTAGCGCAGATCCCCTTCTCCGTGAAAAATTATGGAATATGCGTTTTATAGAGTAACAGAGACGAATAATGGGTTTGCCAAGGCTCTAGAATGGGCTCCGTAGAAAGCGCCTCATAGCTCGCTTTGTATAATAAGAAACCAAAAATGTCTCCTTGTCATTGGGTGCTGCCAAGGAGATATTTTTGATCTCTTATTATACAACAGGCCAGCAACCTGAAGACCTTCGTTCTACGTCTCAGCTCATCGCAACTTGCTCAAACGACTTGAAGAGGCTGTTGAACGGTACTACACCCAACATCTTGGCGTATTTGGTGGTCTGAATCTGCTATTCATCGACCATTCTGTCATATCTACCGACCATTAGATTCAGTGGAAGATTAATTTCAGACTTTCAAGTAGTAAACGGTGTGGCTATAAATTTGAATAATTCTGGAGAGATCTCTCTTCAACTCTACGAGTCTTCGAATTTCTTTTTCTACATATGGCAGGTGTCCCTACATATAATTGCTTTTCCAAAGTTTCAAATATAGCCGTCCTCGAACATTTTGATGTCCTCAAACCTTTCGATAAATTTAATGGTATAGTAGGCCACAATGACGGTTTAGTTCTGGGTCTGTTTCAGTTTAGTCGTCAACTAGCATATGTGGAAATGTTTATGTAGGGCTGTTGGAAAACGGCTTCTCATAGATGGGGGTCTATCATGGAGAGTCTCAAGTGTCATAGCTACTGGCAACGGTAACGAAATCGGCCTTTGTTGGCATCCTTGCCAGGCTTCAGTAGCGGGACCAGCCTGCCTAGTTCCCAGGCTTCAGGAACTATGTAACAAATTGAGGCCTGATGTAAGGTATTCAAGTCCAAGTTCATCCAAATGCTTAAGCAATACCATGGAAATTCCGTCTCCGTCTAACACTATAGGCAACATCTTGGCAACATTTGAAAACATTAATAAACTGACAGTTAAAAAGGCTTCATTGGGTCTTTCACTTCGGATCTCATACTCTTGTGTGTTCGGTGATCGTACGTCGATTCTCGTCAAGTTCATTAACCAATATCGTCAGTTTGGTCTTACTTCGGGTATTCGAGTGTCGATTACCCGGAAATTCCTCTCATTAGCAGTGTATATGAAGGGAATGGCCAGCTCTCTGAATCGGCCATTGGGTAAACTCTCGGAAACCTTGCCAACCAGTTTTCACATGGCTCAGGAAAGTTCGGTCTTCAGATATTTCGTCTTTTTCCGTACTGCAAGAATCTACTACTTCTTACTACGATAACGAATTTTCCTTTATGAGATCGAAGAAAATAGTAACATATAATAGATTCTTGCAGTACGGGAACAGACCAATTATGAAGTCTGGAGTATATTAACGGGGATGATGAAATGGAGGCGCTTTGATCCGTGGGGAATGACTAATTACCAAGTCACGAAATTTATCATTCTATGGTGATGCCTGGTGAGCTGTGTTAATCTCCCTTTATCATTGTGGAAGCATTCTCTTTCACAGTGCAAAAAGTTGTGCTATCAATTTGTTGCTCGGCCAGCGCTGTTCCTCTCTAATCATTACTTACAATGGAATGTCATAACTAATGATGACCATTTAAATCCTGTAATGCCGGGAGGTTATCACCTTTTAAAAGGTGATTAAGCACTTCTACCTCGGAAGTTCCACATGTTACATCTACATCGGTTAGCTTGGTTTCGCGTCAATCCGGTATATCAAACCAGAAATTTTGCTATCTACAAAACACTAATTTTTTCTAAACAATTAACATGAAGTAAAATATTTTTCAGCTTGGATTCAGTTATATTCTCATTAAATAGGATATTCATTTTTATTGGCAATATAATATAATTTCCAAAATATATCTTCGATTTTGAAGACCTCTTTCCAAAATACAACTAACAACCATTCCAATTGGCACACATCAAAATTATGGTGCACCCAACAAACACACACACTGAACATACCCTAAATAATATTTATTTACCTTTCTTGACATTTTTGGCGGTCAGCTGGGCTCCTCGTTTTCTTATGTAAATACCTTGTAAATCTTTTTTCCGTTTTTTCTCGCCAATTCTTTGCATTAACAAATTTTTGTTTTCAATCTATATTCTCATCATCGCATCATCATCACCGTCACTATCGTTGCCAAAATATTTGTGTATATAGTATTGGTTCGATCGGTATACAAGTAACATCAACAACAAAATGTTACTAACAGTACCTTTGCTAAACAAAGGCACCCTTTTGGGTTCCTTGATTAACAAATGCAGGCAAGTTGTAGGAATTAAGAACAATAAGCATGTAGAGATTAATTTGAAACCAAACATATCTAATTCCCCAACGCTATCAACTTTAAATCTACCATCATCATCCACCACGCTGACCCCCAACCCGACGACACCTTTGCTAAATGTCAATGACACTAACAGACCCATCGCGGTAGCTAATTTAAGCCTGAGTAGCCCAGCATTGGCCAGTAGTACTAAGCTGACGATAGAACAGCAAGTTGGCCTGCCGGTAAGGCCAAAGAAACCATTGACCCCATACTTCCGTTTTATGAACGATTTGAGACCAAAGATTTTGGCGCAAAGTCCCAATTTGCCACTAATTGAGGTGGTAAAGCAAGTTTCCAAAAAATGGGAAACAGCTGATCCCTCATTGAAACAGCGTCTGCAGGAAGAGTACAAAAAGGAACAACAGGAGTACATCGAGAAGCGAATGAAGTATGATTCCAAAATTACCGATGAACAACGTAATCAAATTAAGGAATTGAAGCAGGAGAAAATCGAGGCTAAAGAACGTCGTATGATGCGTAAACGTATTAAGGATTTGGGACGTCCCAAGAAGCCAGCATCAGCATTTATACGCTTCATTGCCAAAGAGAGAATACGTACACCACAATCGCCGAAGCAAACGTTCCGTGAATGGCATGAAACGGCAACGAAAAAGTGGGCTTCCCTGTCACAATCCGAAAAGGATATTTACATGCAGGAATCCCGCAAAGAGTTCGAAACATATAAGTAAGACCATCAGCATATTCTCTTAAGAATTTGTCGTAATAAAAAATTTTTTATTTCATTTCTAGGAAAGAAATTGCCGTGTGGGAAGAGAAAATGATACGCATGGGCCACATTGATGTTGTACGCCAGGGCAATCTTATTGATCCACCAGAAGTTAAAACAAAGAAACGTTAAAACATTCGTTTATATCGTTGCATTATATCATGCCATTTTACATATACATACATACACACAAACATACAGTTTTGTTCTTCATTTAATCATTAAATAGTAGTTTGAGTTATTTTTGCTATTTCGTTATTGTTCTCTGATGCATCAGAAAGAAAAAAAGACTTTATTTTCGTAAGTCTTGAGTTCATGAATTAAATTTAAGTAAGTTTCCGAGGAATAAGATTGCTCACAGCATAAACACATAAATATAATAAAAATAAAATGTTGATACTTAATTTTTGCGATAATGGAATGTATTAATATGGAAGGGACCAATGTTAAAGTGGTGGGTACTATCCTCAGAAGCTGAAGACCTATTGCTTTTTATATAGAAAAAATACATTGTAAGCGAGAACGATTTTTTACTATAGAAAAGAATTTTTTTTCTTTAGAAAAAATCGTGAGAAGCAGAGGATCAGATTTTTTCATTAAAAAAATTCTGAGATGCGGAGGATCTAAATTTGTTCTATAGAAAAAAGTCCTAAGAGATAGAGGACAAAATTGTTGCCTATAGAAAAAAGTCCTCATAATCTGAGGACCAAATTTTTGTTTACAGAAGCTGGGGAACAATCTTTTCCCATACTTTAAAATTTAAAAAAAAAAATCAGAGGACCGATTTTTTATTTTATAGGAAAAAAGTCCTCAGAAGCTGAGGACCAATTTTGTTCTATACCCTTCACCACTTTGGGTATATTGTATATATCAATGTTCCCTCGGACAAACAAATCGGACGAATATATATTTATATATGGGAGTTATATCGAAATATAAACCGATTATCCCGTAACGTACCACACAGCATTCTAGACTCAATTCAATACGCTATGCCAAATTTTGTGTAAGTCGAAAGATATATAGGGACTTTGGTGTACCATTTACATAAAATCAGACGAAAAATTATATTGGAGCTATATCGAAATCGGAACCGATTTTTCCGAAACTTACCACTCATCATTGTAGACTCAATTCAGTACGCTATGCCAAATTTCGTGCAAACCGGAGGATATATAGGGACTTTGGTACACCATTTACTTTAAATCGGACGAAAATATATATGGAAGCTATATCTATATCTGAACCGATTTTTCCCAATTTCAATAGGGTTTGACCTTGGGTCAAATAAGTGACCTTTGTTAATTTTCATCCAATTCGGATCATAAATGCGACGCATTATTTATAGGGACTTTGGTGCACCATTTACCTTAAATCGGACGAAAATATATATGGGAGCTATATCTATATCTGAACCGATTTTTCCCAATTTCAATAGGGTTCGACCTTGGGTCAAATAAGTGGCCTTTGTTTATTTTCATCCAATTCGGATCATCAATGCGACGTGTACTTTGTTTACAATTTAACATGGACAGACGGACATGCATAAATCGACATAGAAAGTGATTCTATGCATATTCTCAAAAGGAACCATGTGTCTATTTCGTTTCCTTTTGCCTGTTACAAACATATGCACAGAGATATAATACCCTGTACCTGTGTGGTGAAGGGTTAAATATCGTCAGAATCTGAGGACCAAATTCGTTTTTTTTCTATAGAAAAAATTCCTCATAAACTGAGAACCAATTTTTTCTATATAGAAAAAAAATCCTCAGAACCTGAGGTCCGAACCTTTTCAGGTTCTCAGCTTCTGAAGATATTTTTTTCAATACGAAATTGCACAATATGATTTATTTTTATAAAAAAAAACTTTATTATAAAATATTGTCAATTAAAAAATATGGGCAGAATCATGTGGGGAAAACTTAAGTATTACAAAAGTTGGACGAAATCTGAAAAACAAAACACCTGCATTAAATCAAAATCATATCAACCCAATTACACATAATTAATGTACATTCAATCACACTTCATTCTACATACTCCCTTATTATTCAAAAGTATTCTTATTCTAATCATGAGTATAACGAATGGAAATACCACTTAAACCCTTTTCAATTTTTGCCGGTTCTGTTTGACCTAATGCCGGGTCAAGTCCACGCCATGTACGATCTTCAAATGTCAATCCTGTATTTGTTGTCATCACCTCCATTCTAGCCTGAGTGGCAATTGCCTGCTGTTGTTCGGATAAAGCCGATAGATTTGCTGCTTCCACGTCATTTCCATTGGAAGTACCATTAAAACGCATACGCCCGGTTAGCAAACTAACATCCTCGGGATTTATGTCGTTTGCATTGAATTCAAGGAAACTACGTCCCTCTGGTAGTAGATCTTTAAAATCTGTAACATACGATTCAGGATAACGCATATGCCATGCTGGATTGAGGGCCATTTCTGCTTCAAATACCGAAACAATGGGTTTGTAAAATTCCTTCGATTCAAACATATTGTTGAAGGGACAACCGATAAGTACAAAACAATCTATTTCCAAAAAGTTGGCCAATTTGGCGGGGTTGATGCGTCCAACGGAAATGATTTGTGTCTTTATGCCTCTAGCCTTGGCCATGGTTTGTAGATGTTTCACAACATCCAAATAGCCATTGGATGTGAGTGTGGCAACAATTAGTCCCAAGGTTTGGGCATCTTTACATTTTTCAATATAAAAATATCTGCGACGTATATAATTGGCAGTTAAGGGATTCTTTTCCCTACCCGTTCCGCTTGCAACATCATAAATAAACCATTTGCCAGCTTTGGTGGTAAGTGATAAATTAAAGAATCTTTGATTATCGGAACCAATAAATAAGCATATCCTTTCAGCGTTCATTTCATCTACTTCCTTGGTGTAGTCGCCTTGTGATGTGATGGCAAATTGTCCATCTTCTGTAATGGTGGCAAATTTGTCGCCACAATAAGTCACTAAGTCCAGACGTTTGGTTTTAAGATTTATCAATTTTTCCTTAAGATCGTCATTGATCGGCTCGTTGAGTAGTTGATGGTAGCCAATATCGAGATAAACTGTTACCACATGTGAGGTTGAGTGTTCGATAAATGATTTAAGGTATTCGTAGAATTTTTGCATGTCGATATCGAATTGGGGATACAAGTATAGTACTGGCAAACGTGAAACTTTACTTCGACAGGCATTGCCAAAATGTACCAAACTATCGGCATCAACATGAGCGGCAGCAATCTGAAAAACATATAACAAATATTTAAAACCACGCGGGCAAAGATTATGTGTTTAAGTTTATTATAACATTGTAGAACCTCCAACATGGGGTAGGCATTCAAATCAATCTGAGCTCTTTTCTGAAATAACGAAATTTCAAATTACAAACACTCAGTTTGGACATTAAAAACATGGACCTATATTTTCCGAAGAAGTTGTTTAACCAATGGAGGGATATATATGTCCACATTTCCGGATATATGGGCCATCAATTTTATATGGATCTGGAATATGATTATAAAAATGTAATAATGTTATCCAAGAATTCCATACATCATTGTACACGGTCGGCACCTAGGACTACTTATGGTAAAAAATTTCAAAACGAATGATGATCAGTACTTAAACTTGACTTGAGCCAAATCTACATAATGGCTAGAAGTGTAACATATGCCAGTATCTCGGGTGGTCGGCATTATTAAACTTGTTCTCAAGTCGCTTAATCTAACTATTGTCTTTTTGGATCCTTGACTTCACTTACCTCATCTACACAACAACTTCCGTAGGATGTATCGGCCAATATAAATGTCTTCACTTCGTCAGCCAAGGAAAAGGCCTGTCGAATACTTGCCGCAATTGTTTCACTACATTTTAGATAATTATCGGGAAATTGTAGACAAACCTAAAGTAACATAAATAATATATTTTTTATTAACAGCCTATCTCCATCTCCTTGAACTCACCCTTTTGTAGTTGTTCTTCTTTATCCATTCAATACAATTTTCACGTTGAGCATCTCCCCATATTTGTTCCAAGGAGATATCTTGCTCTACATCTATCAAATCTGCTTGCCTCTCTAATACCGCAGTATCTGAACTTGAAAATGCCGATGTCATATTTTATTAGAGATATAATATATTTCCGTTTATCTGCGATATATAGTCCAAATGCAGTTATTTGTTTACACAATGTCACTCTTGGAAGGCTAAGAAATCACGTAGCCCCATAGCCGGTAGAATTAGTGCACACGTATTGTAATACAAAATCAGCTGATTGCTGTAGTCGTCGTTTGTAAACATTTACTGTGGTGATGCTTCAACAAAAGCGTACAAGAAGTGGCAATCTGTATTATTATTTTTTCCTCTTTAAATACTGGAGGCACGTCCTCCTCCAGCTAGTCCACTTTCTATTGAAATAGAAGGTATAGGACCATACACCATATGCAACAAGGTCATTTTATATTTTTAGTTTAGATCGATGGCAAATTAAGCGAAGGCTTAACACAGCGCCATTTTGTAATTTGTTTTAAGCCCGTAGGCGTGATTAACTCTTTAAATGCGTCTTTCTTGTGAGCTGTCCGAAGACGAACTTGCTATCTGTATTAATATCAGTTTTTAAAAATTGTCAGATGTCTACGTATGAGAATTGCTTGATATAACATTACGCATAAGCCAAATAAAATACGCATTAAGAGGTATATACTTGGCATCTCTTTTATATAACTTCAAATAACTAAAAAATCCTATATCTAAATATGAAAAATACCTTGAATAATCTTCAATGACACTGCAATCTATCTCTGTATAAAATTTAATCGAGCTAAGTTCATTTACTCAGTCAAAAATTGGCACATTGTCAATGAGGTTTGTCAACACTAGCGATAATTTATGTTTCTTAAGAAAAAAAATAGTGGGCATGACGATTTCAAATGACATGTAACTATATTAAAATTATATTTTTTCACAAGGATATTCTTCATAATTGTAAAGAACATAGAGCAGAATACTTTAGAATTAAAAATCATTAAAAAATATTTCTAATAATAACATTTTTATCGATACCGACCTTAGGAACAAAAAATTTTAAGGTTTTCCCATAATCGGCACCTTTTCGATAATTTTGGCTCAAAATGGGAAAACATGTTAACTAAGTCCTATAAATAACTATTATCTTATAAAAAATTAGTTTTGATTGTTTTATTAAAATAGAAGACACGATTTTAATCTCAAATACTTTTAGCCTCTGAAATGCCTTATTTAGCCAGCCGAGAATTGGATAACAGGTACCCAATGTCGGCGCCACGTGTTATAATTGTAATATTTGAATAAATAATATTATTTTATATAACTTTTTCACTACAACACTGATGGAAACGTCCCATAGTAATAATTTATTATTGAAAATAGCAGAAAAATCAATTAAATACATAATTTTTGTTTAACTAAAATGTGACATGCCGACTATTGGAACATAACATGCCGACAATTGGAAAAATGTGCCGACTATTGGCACAAAGGCACTATTTTACATAATTATTAATTTAATCTACTTTAGTACAAGTTAATTAAACAAATTTGTATTCCATCGGGGAGTAAACACAATTTCGAAACAGATGAACCTAAATACAATATCGTGGAAAAGATGCACTTGGAATGGTGAAACATTTAAAAAGCGAAAATTCTTAAAGTGCCGACTATTGGTGCACTTACCCTATTAGGTGAATGCCGCTCTTAACACAGTTGAAGTTAAAAAATTTTAAATTTTGTACAAATTAAGAGAACGTTTTGATATATTAAAAATGCCAAACAAAAGAATGATGTTTATGTAACAGCCAATTATGTGCAATTTCGGTTTCGTAGATTCCGCTCAGGAATTTTTGATGTTAAAGATGCACCTCGGTCGTCGAAAATGTCAATAAAATTTGGAGAAATGATCGAGAAATGCATTTAAAATCGCAACAAATCATACATACAACAAAATGGTGCATATTTGGCCCAAATCGGAAATTCCGAAGAATGTTAAATAAAGTCCTATACTTCATATAAAAATATTGGATTTCTTTTTCCCTAACCAAATATATTACAACCAGTTGGGGAAAATGAAATTCACTCGATCCACTGGATTTGTGAACATGATTAAGGTGACGTGTACGCTATGGAATTGACATTTGAAATCGAGTGAATTTAATAGTTCTTAGCTTTTATAGAAACAACGATGGACTCACAAAAATATTTAGATTTTTAATAAAACATTTGATAACCGGTGCTTTGAAATTCGGGTTCATCAGGGACAACAAATCATATTTAAAATTTTATCAGGTTAATGATCCTAAGAATAAGTACCATATACTGCGGAGATGAGTTCGTTTACCCAAAAGTTCAGTAAAAATTCTTACAAGGTAAACATTTTCTCAGTAAAAATTTTCTTGTACCATCAGCTGATATCAGCTGTTTTGTTATGTTTTGTAAACAAACAACAAAATTATTCTAAAGAGAATTTATTGTTTTGTGAATTTTATATTGATTTTGTATCATTAAACATTAAAATGAGTGAAGAACATGTTTTCCATTTTTCTAATAAAAATGCTGCTTTTTTGTATGCGCCAAATTTTTTGTTGTTTTAATCAGCTGTGTCTATACAACCTTTTTATTCGTTTACTTTTTGCAATTTTCTCTCTTGAAACCAAAAATTCGTATTTTACTGTAAAATTCTTACTGAGTAAATGTTACTGGCAAAGTAAACGAACGGACTGTCGATGCCCAGAAATATATGATAAAACTCGTGGTTCATTCGATGACAATATTCACCGTCGACGTGGATCGGCACGTAGATCTTTCGGAGTCTTCTTCTCTCAAATATTCCAAGAGCTGCTTCACCTGCTCGCCCAAATACTCAGCGTGTGAGTTTGGTACATATGTATACAATTACAAAAGAAATCAAAAGATTAAGTTTACGTTTATTATAAATATAAATTGTTATTAATTATATAATTTTTATAAACTGATTCTTGACATACGGTATATATTCATTATCTTTTTTCTCTCTCCTTCGAGTCGAGCTTAATGATCGAAGTTTTGCAATGAATTGAAAAGCCAGTCAATGCGAAGTTCGTTCTGCACATTAAAATCGAATTTATTAAGGTTCGACAGTCCTTTCCAAAGCTGATTTTTATACCCATCACCACACTGTGGTACAGGGTATTATGCCTTTGTGCATATGTTTGTAACAGGCAAAAGGAAACGAGATAGACACATGGTTCCTTTTGAGAATATGCATAGAATCACTTTTTAAATCGATTTATAGCTTCCATATATAAATGGTGTACCCAAGTTCCTATACATCTTTCGATTTGCACGAAATTTTGCACAGCGTACTGAATTAGGTCTAGAATGATGTGTGTTAAGTTTCCAGAAAATCGTTCGAGCTACATCCAAGCTCCTATATATATTTTAGTCCGATTTAATGTAAATGGTGTACCAAAATCCCTATATATAATTCGATTTGCACAAAATTTGGCATAGCGAACTGAATTAAGACTAGAAAGATGTGTTTTAAATTTCGTGAAAATCGGTTAAGATTTAGATATAGCTCCCATATATATTTTCGTCCGATTTTATGTAAATGGTGTACCAAAGTCCTTATATATCTTTCGATTTGCACGAAATTTGACACAGTTCAATGAATTAGGTCTAGAATGATGTGTGTTAAGTTTCCTTAAAATCGGTCCAGATTTACATATAGCTCACATATATATTCGTCCGATTTTATGTAAATGGTGTACCAAAGTCCCTATATATCATTAGATTTGCACGAAATTTGGCATAGCGTTTTGAATTATGTCTAGAATGATGTATGCAAAGTTTCCTGAAAATCGGTCCAGATTTAGATATAGCTCTCATATATATTTTCGTCCGATTTTATGTAAATGGTGTACCAAAGTCCTTATATATCTTTCGATTTGCACGAAATTTGACACAGTGCAATTAATTAAGTCTAGAATGATGTGTGTTAAGTTTCCTTAAAATCGGTCCAGATTTAGATATAGCTCCCATATATATTTTCGTCCGATTTTATGTAAATGGTGTACCAAAGTCCCTATATATCTTTCGATTTGCACGAAGTTTGGCACATCGTACTGAATTAGGTCTAGAATGAGGTGTGTTAAGTTTCCTGAAAATAGATCCAAATTTAGATATAGCTCCCATATATATTTTCGTCCGATAGATAAATGGTTCACCGAAGACCCCAAGGTAGGCCGATTGACAAAAAATTTGGCACAACGTACTGAAGTTAATATGACTAGCTTGAAGCAACCAAATCAAAAATTCAGTATAGGTTGCAGGATGACATCTTTATGGATCCATTTTCATGGTAATCGTCCTTCAAAAAATTCGACGTCTGTTAGGATTCATCTGTTGAATATAACCACAGTGGTGAAGGGTATCATATATTCGGCCCCGTCCGACTTTACTACATTCCTTACTGATTTTTTTGATTGGTACATTGGGGTTTTTCTACCTTCCTAGGATTGGTTTCTATTATTTTTTAGGTTAGGTGCCATATAACGGCACCATCCATATTTTAGTATTTAGCGGAGTCTGGGTAAGTTTCTCAAACAAAGTGGATTTAATTAAGTATTTTGCATTTCCATTGGATGCCAAATCATCCCACCAAAATAAAAAAAATTTTAAACCAAATTTCAGGAATTTATAGTATTTAAGAAATTGTAGGTGTTTAGGCATGTTTTTCAAGTGAATTGTTTTTTGTTTGATAATTTAGGTTTTCATGGGGGTGTCAAATAGTCCTCTCATATAAAAGTACCGAATCAGTTAATTTCGTGAATAATTATGAATTTCAGTTAATATCTGCAAAAATTTCCAGAACGTATTCGATCATATTCCTCGTTAATTTTCTTTTTCTTTATGTTTTCTTCTTTCTTTATTATTTAAATATAGACATTATTGAAATACTAAAGACCTTTCTATATAGATGTAAGCCTTCTAATTTTTTGTATATAATAACTGGAGTTCTTTATATAGGAGATCTGGAAATAGTTCTTCTATAGAAGAACTATTCCGTTCTTTTAATTGAAGACCTCCATTTCTCCAATACGAGG